AATTAGGATATTGACTATTTACAAGGAACGATCAGCCAGATCAGTTAGCTTTATCATACTATATACTTGGATCTGATTTCTTTTTTCCAGATTCTATTCCTAAATGGTTCATGGGTACACGTCCCATTTTCAGGTTTGTTTGCCAGATTTGTTCTTCTCCTCATAGTCTATCCCCTGAATATTATGATCTATTTTCTATCGGGTTTCTAAATTGTATGATTGTTTTGCTTCCAGGATTATTCTGTCCATGCCTTGGCTTTCACCTAGATGGACAAGAGTCTGTTCTTCAGTTAGACGCCCAGCTGCAAGTTGTTGTTTGATCAGTTGTGAGGTGTCTCATAGGCACCAAATGGATGTTCATAATGTTGATCCATCTACATATCATGTGGTGCACGGCCCAGAAAGAAGCAGTAGGATGGTTGGTCCAAAATTAAGCTCATTTTTAGCATGGGATCACTGACGAGATTTCTCTCTCTTGATAAGCAGCATCATTGCTTACACCAGGTTAGAGAAGCTTCCTTTTAAAAATTTCGTCTTTTAGCTTTGGAAGTTTTAAATATTGAGAACAGTAGATTGTGCAATTTCCATTTCTTCAGTAGTAGGTGTCATACAAGAACACAATTGATGTACTGCTTTGTTTTGTTTTACTTACTAAAATTATGAAGTGTTGTCCTTTCCATTAAAATAATGATAACACTTTGAGTTATTAGTACAATTAACCATGGGATCAAGACTCAAAAAGTAAATGCTAGACCATTTAAACTTAGCATGCCATGAAGTTATTAAACAGGAAATCATACTTACTGATTGTGATATAAAATAGTGACTGCTACACCCACTACAAGATATAATAGTTCAACACAATGATTGCCGAGGAGCCAACATGGAAGGTGACTCTGTATAAAAGGACACAAATTTAACATGTTCAGATTAATGACCCTACAATGTCAGCACACAAGATAGATAGATGAACATTAAGATTTCATTCAGCCCAAAATTTTGTTCAGTCGAACTCGCCAAAGATGCTTGATGTATGTTAACCACTAGACAAATTCTAGATAGAAGAGTGAAGAGCCTTAGATTTCATTAGTAGTTTGATCATTTAGTATTTCCTTTGAATGGCGTGACGTGCTTCTGATCAATTAACTATTTGGTCTTCTAACCCGCATCTAGGGAAGAGGTGAAAATATCTACCAATTTATCATCGAGTTTGATTTATCTCTTTTCTTGACTTATCCCTTTATTGCTTAGATATTGCACGAAGTAAGTAGAACGCAGTTCTGGCACATTAGTTTCAGCATAAAAGAATGTACAACACAATGGATTTATACTACATTTTGTTATTTTAGTCTTTTTTCCGAGCAATTCGATATGTCTCATTATTTTCATCACTAATTACACATGAATGAAAGAGAGACAATGTCACATGAAAATCACTATAAAAGGTTATTCTGGGTGTAACTAAACAATTAGATGGGCCTGTGAATCAAGATTAGATGGTTGTTCAATCACTATATCACTACTATCATTTTATGCATACTATCATAATGTGATGACGGGAGGTGATAAGTTTGTCGGGCTGGTGTGTGATGACAACGCAATGCAGGAGTTCTTTAGCGGCGGCAAGGAGTCCAGGTGCAACAATACTGACGCATCATGCAATGCCAAGTGAACAAATGGCGTGTCTCGAGAAATTACGGGGACGGATACAAGCACTACCGTTGTCCTACTATTAAGAAGTTATATTGATGTTTCTCATCAAGACATTGTTTAATAAGGAAACCCATTTGCTTATGAAAAATTCCATGTGGCAACATGGTTCATGTAATATTATTCTTGAAGCGAACTGATTCGGCTTCAAGTGTGTAGGTTTGGTGACATCATCATTTCCATCATTCCAGTAGGACATGTTCTCAAAATATTATGTTATTGCAATTGTTAGTAAAGACTGATAAAAAACATAACAATTAGCACCCTAGCCCGTGCAATTGCACGGGTTGACGACTAGTAACTCTAATTTACTCAACAAGAAAGGCGTGATAGTTCCCGGGTGCCCTTACACTCTCTATGAACAGTAAATTCACAAAATAGAAAAAATCCAAAAAATTGAAACTTTGAGACATCAAATATGATCAAACTTTGTAGGTCATTGCAAGTTCTCATAACAAAATATCATGTACAGCTCTTCGAATACAACGAGTTTCATATTTTAGTGCTAAAAGTGCTCAAAACTTCAAGCATTGAAATCTTTTTCTCGTATAGAGCTCCTGGAATATTTTTTGGCATAAAAACTTGCAAGCACCTACAAAGTTTGATCATAGTTGGTGTTGCAAAGTTTCAGATTTTTTTGATTTTTTCTATTTTTAATTTACAGTTCATAGAGGGTGTAGGGGCACCCGGGAGCTCAAAAATTACTCTCTTTACTCAATCTCATCCCTAGGGCTTGTAGTAGGAGTATATAATTAACTTTTGACAATGCCATGTCCAACAAAAATTCTTAAAATTTGCTTTTTTGTGACGTACGTGTGCTCTACACTCATAACATGTAAGTAGCCCCTGGACAGGCACCTCAACTAGAAGCATAACTCAGAAAAGCTGATTGTAATCTTAATGCACATGCAAAGATTCGAAAGATCATGAGCCTGACACAAACTATGTAACTAGCTTAGGTTTAGTCCAAAGTAAACAATGCAACTAACCCACCAGAGCCGCCACAAGGAACTCGTGCAGGAACTAGCATCTGGTTACATTAAATATAATATGGAGGTTTCTCCATAACCGCTTTGTGGTCTCATGATGGGTGGCGGTCTTGCTGGGCTACCCAAGCTTCTCCACCAACACCTAGTTCAGGGAAGGGATCGGCCTCTTCTCAACCCGGATCTACTGCCGAGACAAGTGGAGAGAACTGTGGTAGAAGATGGTGTCGATATGATGCCGATGCACCAAACACAGCTGTGTAAGCATGACACCCACCTCCCTGTAGCTAATAAGCGTCGGCTCCCTCGCGTGGTCACCCTCACTAGCGGCGCTGCCCTTGGCGTGCAGTCGTGGAGGTCCTGATGGCGGATGGAATACGGTTTGAGGAGGGTGTTACGGGGCGGTGGGTTCACCGGGCGGCGGAGCGAGAGGCGATGGGTTCCCTGGGCGGCTGGAGTGAGATGAGGGGGAGTCAGGGGCAATATGAAAGGGCGTCGGGCACGAGCGGATTTGAGAAATGACAGGTTTTTGGACAAGATTTGATTTACATACGGTTTCAATCATCTGGAATTGTGAAATGATTTCCGACACCCAAATCCAGGACAGCCAAACATGTTGGTGTAGGAATTCGCAAATGATTTGCACGATTCCGACTCAAATGCTGAATGCCAAACAAGCTGTGTTTTTTTTTTGAGAAGGACAGGCCTTCTTGTTAGTATACGGGCCAGAGCATGTAACGGCACAGCCTATATCGAGCCCATCAACCGCGAAGCCCAATACCGCGGCCCGAGCCTACCCCAAAGGCCACACGACGCCGCCAGAATCCTCCACGCACCCACCCCACCCTACCGCGCCGCCGGCCTCGTCTCCTCCCACCTCTCGCCCCTCCGGCCGGATCGGAGAAACCCCCTCCCCCGCCTCCCGCCGCCTGCCCGCGGCGCCCGCTCCGACCTCGCCGTCCCCGAGCAACAGCAGCAGCAGCAGCAGCAGCGCTCCGCTTCCTCCCGCCTGGCTAGCCCCAGCCTAGGGCTTCCGCTCAGGTATCGCCCCCTACGACCTTCGCTACTTCCTTGCCTCCCGGTAGGGCAGGGATTCTACTGCTTTTCTCGTGTTTTTCTGGGTTTCCGCGTGCGCGCGAGACAGGAGAGGCTGTGGAGGAAATCTGAGAGAACACAGAGCAGTTCTTCAGATGCAGTGTAGAATTGACTTCGTTTGGACCACCCGCAAAAAAAAAAAGAGACTTCGTTTGGACCGTGTTCATGATAGGTTGTGGTAGCATATAGCTTTCGGTTTGGATGGGCCCTATCACCAGTCCGCGGGATTGCCCGTCTGAGCAATTCCGGGGCAGCTTTGTAGCACAGGGAACTCGAAATTGTTGGTGCTAACACTCTGATTTTTGCGATTTTGTCATGCATGGACTTGTTCTCCCCGTGGTCTATGTACTGGAGATTTCTGAGGTAGATGCTTTTGTTCATCATGGTATAAAAGGTCAAGGTCATGGAGCAGCGCCAGGCTGCTTGGGGAATTGAGAAAAAGGAACACCCCATGGTGCACATGCGTCAGCCTTGGCGCGGTTCTGTTTCCACAGTTCTAACGCAAGAACACCCCCGACCTCATAAACTGAACGCATCACTTGGCTGGAGCTTGCTAGCCAACGCTCCAGAAATTGTTCAACTACTAGTCCGGTGACCACCATTGCACACATCTGATGGACCCATGCATGAGCATCTCTAGGAAAACAAATCCGACCTGGTGGCCTCCAACAGTGCTTCTACTCTGCAATTCCATGTGTGTAGGCTGTATGCCACACATGATTGAGTCTCCTGTTCCGGGTATCCCTGTCAAGGTTCCTAGATCAGCCCCTTGTGTGGCCTATTTGATTTGTAAAACTGTTGATGCTACTCCAAACATATTCTGCTACTGCTGCTTAATTTTGCACAGTTCTCCCAGTGAACTAACTTACTAGCATTTTAAATTACTGCTCGATTACTGGCACTGGGTACCACCAGTAAACCTTATTTTGTGTATATTGACCTGGGTTACATCACCACAGCTCTACTTAAATCTCATTGCCAAAATTATATCTAGCAAATATCATCTGTGGTACTACTTGTGCTTGTATGTGTCTGTAAATTGAAAACCTGGATAATGTATGATTTTTGTTTCTGAAGAGATGTTTGTGTGCATATGTTTGGACTCTAGACTCTACTGTGGACTAGGTCTGTTCTGTTCTGTTCATTTTCTTGCAGTCATCTTATATTTTTCTTTGTGACAGGAACGTAAATTTCACTACAGACTTGAAGATGTACTCCGCCCCAGGCAACAATTCTTTGGCTCTTGCAGCCCCACGGCCAGGAATGGAGCTGGGCAACGTGCAGCAACATCCTAACCAGGCTTTTGGCCTTGGGCCTGGTGGGAAGCAACGCTCATCCAGTCTGGAGGCGCCGATAATGCTACTCACAGGCCACCAGAGCGCTGTCTACTGCATGAAGTTCAACCCTGCTGGAACTGTGATAGCATCGGGCTCCCATGACAAGGATATCTTCCTGTGGTATGTCCATGGTGAGTGTAAGAACTACATGGTACTGAGAGGGCACAAGAATGCTATCCTTGATCTTCACTGGACCACTGATGGGAGCCAGATAATCTCTGCAAGCCCTGACAAGACTTTGAGGGTCTGGGATGTTGAAACTGGTAAGCAGGTTAAGAAGATGGCTGAGCACTCATCCTTTGTCAACTCATGTTGCCCGTCACGTAAGTGGCCACCTCTTGTTGTGAGTGGATCGGACGACGGTACAGCAAAGCTCTGGGACCTGCGTCAGAGAGGGGCTATCCAAACACTTCCAGACAAGTTCCAGATTACCGCCGTGAGCTTTTCAGAGGCCGCAGATAAGGTTTTCACGGGTGGTCTGGACAACGATGTCAAGTGGTGGGATCTTCGCAAGAATGAAGTCACAGAATCTCTCAAAGGACATCAGGACATGATAACTGGGATGCAGCTTAGTCCTGATGGGTCGTACCTCCTCACCAATGCGATGGACAATGAGCTCAAGATCTGGGATCTGCGCCCTTACGCACCAGAGAACCGCAACATCAAGACCTTTACAGGGCATCAGCACAACTTTGAGAAGACGCTGTTGAAGTGCAGCTGGTCACCTGACAATCGCAAGGTCACTGCTGGGAGCGCTGATCGCATGGTCTACATCTGGGACACGACATCGAGGCGGATCCTGTACAAGCTTCCTGGGCACAACGGTTCCGTCAATGAGACCGCTTTCCACCCTACCGAGCCCATCATTGGATCTTGCGGCAGCGACAAGCAGATTTATCTCGGGGAGCTTTAGGTCGCTGCCATTTCCTCAGCTAGGAGTTCCTGTAATATTTGGGTATGAAAGAGAACTCAAGACCGCAGGTACCATGTTGCTCTGTCAGACATTGAATGTTGGATTGCTGATCGAATTTTCAAACTGCTACTTGTTCAGTACCCTTACGGTTGTTAAACTTGTGGCCATTCTGTCTTTTAATCACTAACTACTGTGCTCTCTGAAAACCTGATTCACTTGCCTTTTCCCTGCTGAATTACGTTGTCTCACTAGTGTATCAAGTCAAATGCTGTTACAGTCTGTAAACTTACCTTTTTCTGTTAGGCGTGTTTCTATTGGCGCTATATATATCACCAGAAAAAAAAGTTAAGTCAGCTAAAAGATTGCCTCACAAGGGCAAACCATGTATTAATAAATTTGGTTGATCCTCTTTTAGCCAATCGTAGATTGTCAACAATCTGTCTGAACATAGCTGTCAACTTCTATTTCGTGATCTGCTGTTTCAACCTATGTTCATGTGGCTCTGTTCAAAAGAGTATGACTGTCATGCAGTGTCTTTTTTATTCACCATACTCATGGTGGTCTCCCTTATTATTGATGAAAATAATCGGTTTTCGTCACTGGTTCCATTTCTTTCCTGTATACAACTCATAACTAATATCAAGATAAAAAATAATAGTAAAAATTCTCTTTAATATAAAAAATTCTGATTTTTTAAAGTGTGTTTATTTGGCTGATGGTGGGGTTAAATTGTGTATATGTGACGATATTGACTTATGTAAGACCTTGTGACACCATGTTTTGGCAAAATGGAATCAGTTTCCTGTATACTTTCAAAACAATTCTAGCTAGTGTATGAACATTCTGACAAAATAATTGCCGTTGGATGTTACGTTTGTGGTTGTGCGTGTGCTTGAACCTAGTGCATACGTGAAATCAGCCGGTAACATGGAAAGGCCCAGCGGAGACGCGTGAAACAGACGCCGCGCACTACTGGAGTCCTACTTTTATCTTATGGGTTTGTCTAGGTCTCAGTCGACTGAGACTTCACGAAGTCTCAGTCGGCTGACGTCACCTGTTTTTTTGTTGCTTTTTTGCTTTATTGCTCAGCCTATACCATGTCACCTTTGGTTGCTTTTTGGGCCGCCCTGTTTGTCTTTGCTTTGTGTGTTTTTGAGCTGAGTTGGGCCAGAGATTGGACAGTATTTTTGTTCGGTGCTGCTGCTCCATTGACTACGTGTGGTGCACCGGGCGGATGTATTAGTTTGTTGTTCGTGCAAAAAAAATTAACATGCGGTTACTATCAATTTTGTCAGGTTTTACTTTTCTTTTTTCTCCTTCCATTCTTATTTATACTATTTTTGTTTCTAGAAAATGTAAGCATTAGTCGTGATATTTTTTTTAAGAAATACGTTCATGCATTTTCACAAATATTAATCATGTATTTAAAACAATTAGAGTGCCATTAGAAAATGTACAATATTGTTTAAAAATATTCATCATGAAATTAGAAAAATGTTTAGCATTATTTAATGATGGTTTTTCCTTGCATTTTTTCTTAGATTGGGTCTCATCTATTTGTAGTTTTGTTATCATCCACAAATTGAAAATGGTACTACTAACAAAATAAGAGAGCTAATCATATTCAGTTACAGTTACACATGCGATGCAGAGGTGCAACTGGATAGGTGTGTCACGTTAAAAAAAAATCAAAACACCTCTTTTTAGAGAAATAGAAAAATAAAAAGAAAAGATATTAAATAAGAAAAAGAAAGTAAATAATGGGGTGTGGATACGGTCCAGTCGATTGAGATTTAAATAAGTCTTAATCAGCAGGCATCAGGGCAACATGCAGGCTGAGATGACATTTGCAATTGTAGACCTAGGTGCGACAATTGCAGTTGCATTCCTAGTGTCGGACATGCAACTGGCCCATTCTCTCTCCCGCCGCCCCCTCCAACAAAACAAAGGTCCAGTTGTAATCATGTTGGGGGACATGCAGTTGCGGTCGGGTGCGGCGCTTGCACCCTCCAACAAAACAAAGGTCCAGTTGTAATCATGTTGGGGGACATGCAGTTGCGGTCGGGTGCGGCGCTTGCAGTTGCGGGGCTGTTGTCGAGCTTGCAACTGACATGCCCCCTCTCCCGACATCCCCTCTGATAGAACAAAAAAGTCCAGTTGTGGTCGAGTTAAAAGACATGCAGTTGCGGTCGAATGCGGCACTTACAGTTGCGGGGCTATTGTCGAGCTTGCAACTGGC